TCCAAGCGGACAACGGTTGCTAAGACAGCATTCTTTCATCAAAGTTATTGTTCGAGGTAAATTAATGTTTCTATGTTTTCTAATTTATAATATTTAAATTTACAGACAGGTCTTTATTCATAATGTTTCACAGTATATAGTAGCCAGTGGTGCGAATTTATATATGTAACATAAAATGTAGAACATTATTACCCCAAATTAATGATGAGAGTAGCATTACAGTATTACGATAACGTCTATTTATTACTAATCTCAATGATTTAATTTCTGGATATTTCAATACAGACTATGCCTTATTTTTTTTTTTCCTTTTTAGCTTGTCCGTCGGGAAAATGGGGACCACCGACTTGTTTAGGAGTATGCGACAACTGCTACCACGGAGGTGTTTGCGAAGTGGAAACAGGAATTTGCATCTGCCCTCCTGGTTTTATGGGCAGTAATTGCCTTACAGGTTTAATATATCATCACATTGATTCTAATTAACAATAACAAAAAATTTCAGATATTTTACATTATACACACATACATACATAGGTCTACATACATACATACATACATACATACACAGTTAAAGAAGTGGTAAATCATTTTAAGAGTTTAGACATTACAAAGTCTCCCGGTCCTGATGGGATTCATTCTAGAGTACTGATGGAAGTAGTTGAGGTACTTGGAGAATTGATAACTTTGTTGTTTAATAGGTCATTAAGAGAAGGGATTGTTCCCGACTCGTGGAGACAGGCTAATGTTGTGCCTTTGTTTAAAAAAGGAAATAAAAATAATCCTTTAAATTATAGACCTGTGAGTCTTACTTCTGTAATTTGCAAGTCTATGGAAAAGTTGGTTAAAGTCAGACTTTATGAGTATTTGGAATATAATAATTTAATTAGGGAAGAGCAACATGGTTTTCGCTCTGGTAGATCTTGCACTACTCAATTACTGGAAGTAGTTGATCAATGGACTCAATGGCTTGATAGTGGTTTGTCGTTTGATTGTATTTATTTTGATTTTCAAAAGGCATTTGACAAAGTTCCTCATCGTAGGCTATTGTCAAAATTAAAGTCTTATGGAGTATCTGGCAACTTGTTGAATTGGATTGTGGCATTTTTGAAAGATAGGAAACAGAGAGTGGTCGTTAATGGTGTTAGTTCTGGATGGCAATTGGTGTCTAGCGGGGTTCCTCAAGGAAGTATCCTTGGACCTTTATTATTTTTAGTTTTCATTAATGATTTACCCAAAACTGTTTCTGATTCATTTATAAAGTTGTTTGCGGACGATACTAAGCTGTTTAGAGTTGTCAATTGTGAGACTGATCGTGAGATTCTACAGGGGGATGTAAATGCTTTATACCAGTGGTCGATAGACTGGCAATTGCCATTTAACTTAACAAAATGCAAGGTTATGCATTATGGAGTTAAAAATTTGGTTCTGGTACATCAAGATGTGAAATTGTATGTGTTAAGGAGGAATCAGATCTTGGTATTCTATTTGATGATAAGTTGGATTTTTCTAAACACTCTGTAAAGGTTGCAAGAGCAGCAAATAGAAGATTGGGTCTGATCAAAAGAGCATTTAAATTTCTTGATGGTAATGGTTTTTTGCGTCTCTATAAGTCAATGATTCGTCCTGTGATAGAGTATGGTAGTTGTGTTTGGAATTCTAAATATAAAAAAGATTCTGATTTATTAGAAAAGGTCCAACAACGCTCCACCAGATTGATTAGAAGTCTGAGTGACAAAGCTTATGTGGAGAGACTTAAGGCTCTTAATTTGCCAACTTTGTTATTTAGAAAAAAACGAGCAGATGTCATTCAGACCTTTAAGCCCCTGAGCGCTTATTTACAAGATCAGATTATTCTATAACCAGAGGCCATGTATATAAATTGTACAAACAGAAATTTAAACTTAATGTTAGGAAAAAGGCATTCGTTGTTCGAGTTACTGACGATTGGAACTCCCTTCCTAGTAATGTGGTAAATCAGAGTTCAGTAAATCTTTTTAAAGCGGGCTTAGAGAAAGTCTGGTCTGGCCACCACCTTAAATTTTGCCCGTATATGACCGAAGAGGATTCGATAATGATCGAGGGACAAATGAGCTTTGATCTCTAAGTCTCGAAGATTCAAGGTAAATTCAAGGTAAAAATACATGCATAATATACACACATGGGCCTACATACATACATACATACATACATACATATATAGGCCTATGTTATTTTTGTTATGACATTCGCCTTGACTGCAAGAAACTGCAGGTTCTAATGCAGGGTCAGCCCACATTAGTGTTATGTAGCTGAGCCCTGGAACTGTGATTAGGCCAAAAAAAAAAAAAAAAAATTATTATGTTGCGGCCAGACGCCCGACCGACCAAAATTTTACGAAATTCAAGGTCGGCATTTTATTTATTTTTTTCTACAACGAACAATATCTTTGTTTTTTCGTGAGCTAATAAGGCTGTAATAGCTTTGGACTATGCTAGTGGGCCATGGCCTAGCCTATTTTGCTGCATGGTACCCGATGCGAATTAAAACTTGCTGTTTTATTTGTGTATTTTCTACTGTTTTAAGGGTAAACGCATTTTTGCAAAAAAAGTTTTCCTCTACCGACCTACCCATTTTTTTGGATTTTCCCAAAACGTGGCCAACACAGACATTTATTATTTTTTGGCCTTATGAGATGGTTTATCAATTAAGAATCCTATTAAAGTCTGAACTATTATGTTATTATATTATCAATTAAGAGTTCCGTCATCTATTTCAAACTATTATTTATTAAGACGGTAGCCTGACATAGTTTATGGTCGTAGGAAAATATGGCCGGAAAAATGTCCCAGTAAAAATGGCCCACGGTAAAAATGGCCCCAAATTACTGAATTTTACCATTGGGGCCATTTTAACCTGTCTTTTAGGGCCATTTTTACTGGGGCCATTTTTTCAGTGGTTACTCTTTCTGGGGCCATTTTTTCCGTACACTAACGTTTAAAGTTAAAAGTAACCTTTTCTTCAATCATCTATTCCAAACTATTATTCATTAAGACGGTAGCCTGACATAGTTTATGGTCGTAGGAAAATATGGCCCCGGAAAAAATATCCCCGGAAAAATGGCCCAGTAAAAATTACTGAATTTTACCATTGGGGCCATTTTAACCTGTCTTTTAGGGCCATTTTTACTGGGGCCATTTTTTCAGTGGTCACTCTTTCTAGGGCCATTTTCTCCGTACACTAACGTTTAAAGTTAAAAGCAACCTTGTCTTCAATCAGTAGACAAGGACACAAGAGAGTGTGGCCACATACAGGATAGCTCTTAAAATAATATAGTCTACTGGAATTTGTTAATTTTATCAAATTAATGATATTCAAGTGAATGGTGTATATTTATTGGTAAACACATTATGATTTATCAATACACAGCAGTAGACTTATTACCAAAAGGTCGCAAAGGTCTCACAGAATGGCAAATAAGCATCAGTAAAATATGAGTAACGTATGGATTACATGTTTATTCAATTAGCTTGATTTATTTACTAAGCACTACTTCTAGAAAAGCACTTTAAATTTGTTGCATGTTTTGGTTATTTTTCACCTATTTTTTTTAAATACTGCGCAAGGCTAATGCTACGCCTGTTTAAATTAAAATCTCTGGTACTAATAGTATTCTTTGACTTGTCTTTCTTTTTAATCACAATTCTTACCACAGCGTGTGGTGGCAACAGATTCGGATGGAGTTGTGAAAAAAGATGCACATGGATTGAAGATCTCAAAGACCAGTGTAGATTTCAGATTTGCCTCCCCGATCCGTTTGGATGTCAGTGTGCTGCTGGCTTTACAGGCATAAGCTGCAATTCCGGTAAATTATTCAAATTTTACATTATAGCTTTATACAATATGTTTGTTAATCATATTGATTTTAATTTCATTTTATTTTTGTCACTAACCATGATATTATAACACTTCTTATCAGATAACAATTTGCCTCTCTTCACAACAGTGCTGCTGCTCTTGACTCACTCATGTGGAACAGAAATAATCTTAACACACCCTCGCTCATTTTAAGCTCTAGAGCAAACAATTCATGTCGTGGTTGTGAAATTTCTTGGGGTTCTGTTTTTGTAAAATTGTTATAATATGTTTTTACTCATTATATTATCTGGCTTTTCGTGTCCTGTACACATAATTAATTTTAATGATTTTGTTCTTAAATAGGCTCTATATAAAAATGATAAATATACATATACATATACTGTTTATGTCTAACAGAATGTCCAGCTGGAACTTATGGGGCTGGTTGCAAACAAGTTTGCCACTGTAAATCAGCATCATGTAATCGGTACACCGGCGCATGCTCAGAGTGCATGAACTCATGGAATGGGGAATCATGTCAGAGTAAGATAATCATGATTTCACTTAATATGCTGATTTCAATGGCGACCATATTGAAATAATTATAATTTTCAGTGACAGATCAAGCAAATTGAATTGAGGTGATTAGGGAGGGAATTTTATAGATGCAGGATGCAGAACACCTCAGCGGGAAATGACACTAAATTTAATATAGGCTTACTTTTTTTCCAATATTGTTCAAACTTTATAAAAACATTATTGGGGGGTGAAGCCGCCTTTGACTGTTGTAAGTAGGTTGCAATTCTCTCCAAAATATTAGAAACTGCGGTACATATTTATGACCCCATATGTTTTACATGTTTCCTGGTATGACCTTGTTGAGAGAAATAGGAAGTGTAGAAAGTGAGTCGCATTTCCGCTGAAACAATTTATATTTTCTATTGCATTGTAAACAATTATAATGTTTTTTTTTAGACTCATATCATAAATATAGGTGCTACAAATTGACTTTATATAAAATTCGTTTTGTGCATGGTTTTTCTTTAAATTTAGAAAGCAGTTTAGTCATTTTACCCATTGTAATCTAAATTATAGCAGACTCGATTTCGTCGGCACTTGAATATTTTTTTTATATATATAATTATCAGTTCCTGATGTTTGTCCTGATGGTTACTATGGAGATCAATGTATTAAAAAATGTCACTGTAAGGATGACAAAAGTTGTGACAAAGATACTGGACACTGCATAAATGGCCAGTGCGCAGTTGGATATGCCCTTTCAGATGCAAGCATTTGTGAACGTAAGTATTTATGGTTAATCTCCCACAAGCCAACACATTCTTCTATGTATTTTGTTCCCTGCTTCTTGTTATATTGACCTAATATATATATAAAACACATCTTCATTATGAATGAATTATTACTGTCATTATATTCATCATCATCATCGTCATCATCATAACCATCATCATCATCATCATCATCATCCTCATCTTCATAATTATTATAATCATCCTTTAATTTTTATCATCAACGTGGACCTACTCATCATCATCATGTTCATTATTATTATCATCATCATCATCTTCTTCGTCGTCGCCATTATCTTCATCATCATTATTACCATCATCACTTTCTTTTTCTTCTTCGTCATTGTCATATCTTCAAAATCTAAATCGTCATCATCATCATCATCATAATTACCATTATCCTCATCATTATTATCACATAGTTGATAGCACGATGAATGATTCGGATGCCACTAAAGCTAGTTCCACGAAAATTAAAAACATTAGAGTCAAATGTCATTGCCATAGGGTTCTTGAATGTTGGCAATCACTGATTTTAGAGAGTTAGTTCTGATTTTAATTTGCTCAGAACATCATATATTTCAACTTTATTTCAAAAATTGCATTGCAATTCATAATATTATTATTGACACCAGTTTTTTAATATCACCTAATGAAGTGCAATGGAATAAAATTGTACTTGGTTTGGGAGTTATGACGAACGTATCAATGAAATACCTTTAATTTTAACATTCTGTATATATAAATGTAAAGTGAGACTTGGTCTTACAAAAATATATCCCTGGTCATTATTCACATATGAGTTGGAATAATTGAATAGTTGTAAATTTTTAACTAATACTGATTGACCTTAATATACTGTACTTGGATAGAGCCTTACGATCTTAATAAATGTTAAGCTTACATTGCTAATCGTCACCAATGTCAGCGCACAACTGACATAAGAATTAAAGCTTTCAGTTAGTTATGATAGTTATGAAAAAAAAAAAGATAAAATAGGCCTAATAACAATTGAATTTAAAAATGGGTGATTCGTCTATCAATGCTTATTTTTTCATTAAACTTAAGATGATCATTGTATTAGGCTGAACGAAATGATATAAAGGACCGTTGGTTCAAAATGAGTAAATAAAGATTTATATAAAAAATAACGATAAAAAAATATAACAATAAAATAGAAAGTAATTGAGGTGAGTAAAATCCACACAAAAGGGAAAGAGATAGGAACCTCAGGTGAAGGTATGATGCGTCCTAGTAGATGGAGACTATTGGTATTATTATGTTTAATGTTTATTTTTAAAAATAAAAAAGCCGTAATTTTGTTTTTCAAATGAACACTTTGTATATCTATATATTTTGTTTGCTATTCGTAGACAGTTAAGTTGTATTAGTAATTATATACCATATTTTTCACATAATACTGTGTAGAAAAATTGTGGTTTTCGAAAAGCAGTAGAATGACTCGACTACTGCAATATTAGGAACTTAATATGCACTTTTCCCCCGAATCATGTGACCTATTTGCCGCTATTTTAAAATGATGTAACCTGACCAGAAAAAAATCCTTGCCAACAACCTGAATACAATGTTTGTAATCACGTTCATCGTGCATACAAAACCTGATGTAGCTAAAACAGAATTCTCAGTAGTTGTTATAGTTGTTATAACAACTCCCTGGTCTAAAGGAAAGCTCATTTACTTTGATTTGTATTGTATAATCAACGTTGATACATTTGACTCACCATCAAGAAATTGATTATAGTTTTATAAATAAAATAATTCTTACTTAAAACATTAAAACTATGTTAAATCTTGAATTTTGTAATTTAAAACTGTAATTGATTTTTATGTATTCCAACAGCATGCGTGGGGGATTCATACGGTGATGGTTGCAATGAGACCTGTAATTGCCCTTTGGATTATTGCCACAACGAGAAAGGTTGCTTGAGTGATTGTTTCGATTACTGGTTAGCGCCTTCGTGTACTATAGGTAGGCTGGACACTATAGTTATTTTAGAGGAGACCGAAAGATAAAATGACAATATTATGGCGGTAATAGTAAAAAAAAAAAAAAAAGGAAAAGGAGTAAGGGCAGAATGCTTTACATTCACCTAATTGATCTACTTAGTAATTGAGTGTACCAAGTCAAGAAGTATCAAATCCAAAGTAGCTCTGTGAACGTAAAACTAAATGAAGTAATGTTAATATAGGTCGCCAACATAATGTGTAACGGCACAGAAGCATATTCAGTTAATTTCCTCGATTTCGAAATATGCTTTTGAAAAGATGCCCTATAGGCATTGTTCTTACCAGTTTTGCTCAAGAACAGAGAGAAACATGTTATAGAGTGGACGAGCATCAGGCCCGTAACGTGATTTAATTTGTGGGAGGTTCGTTTCAGTGGAAAGTGGACCCTTTGTAAACCATTATACAATAACTAATATTGTTAGCTGGGAAAGCTTAAGAAATGCCGACTTGAAATACTTCTGGTCTGTATGATCTCCGATACACTGGAGAACATTGTAAGTATATCTACGAATATCAATTTTTCGTTTTTTAATGCGGACCTTCTCCATTTTTTTGATGGTTCGTCGTAACCCCCTTAATCCCCCCATGTTACGGGCCTGAAGCAGGTTTGACAATAACTGAGCACAGATGTTAGTATTATTGCTTAATAATGACTAAATCACGCAATTCGTATGTTATTTTGTGTCTAAAATACAGTGTATTTATTGGTAAAATGTATATTTATGTGCTAAAACGTATTTATTATACGGTACATAAACCGTGTATAAATTATTGCTTTGAGACTTCTTCTCTAGGGATATAGGCCTATACGAGTGTGTGCCTGAAATTTCCAACCCACCTCAACTCACTATAGTTGGTGCTGAGCAGCTGTGGCTCCATTCAAAAGGACAATTTTGGCATAAAAATGATATTGATTAGTGAAATATTGATCTGGCCAACCGGGCCGCTTTCTATGACCTTGCAATATAACAATTATAATAATAATAATAATAATAATAATAATAATAATAATTATTATTATTATTATTGTTATTATTATTATTATTATCATCATTATCAATGTCATTATCACTATTATTATTTTCAAAAACAACACAACAGATCGTATCTTCATCATAGGCAAAGCCTGTATTTAATCCAATAAGTTATGGCCTTAACGGCCCCAATAAGACATGTTTCGGCAGTCCACTACCATCGTCAGTTATCTATTGCTGCAGGCAATCATTGATATAGGGGAGTAAAAATTCAATGTATGCAAGCTAAAAAATTTGTGGAATGAACCGTAACAGTACTACAAAGCAAAATATAAATAAAGATAAGATAAGATCAGAGTGCAGTATTTTAAATGCCACTAAGGGGAGAATGGAATGAATTTAGAATGACAAAGATAAATTAACATGAAAAAGCTGTTTGTTCAGTGAGGGCTGCTCCCACTGAATATGCAAGGCTTCTTTGATTTTTAGAATTTGGGTTGTAGAGGCGGAGTCCAGTATTGTGAAACAGTCCTCATTGGCTGATTGTTTACAGTGACGTGAACTTTTCAGATGCTTTAATATATGCGAGTTTCCGTCCAGTGTTAGGTGCTCACGCATGCGTGTAGAGAAATGTCGACTTGTTTCGCCAACGTAACAAGCATTACAGCCTGCACATACAAATTTGTAAACGACACGCGAACGGAGACCAATTGGGATGGGATCTTTAGCTGAAAACAAATTTTTAATTTTAAATGAGGAAAATACAATTTTTAAATTTAAGTCATCACAGAATTCATTCGATAAGGCACGGATTTTCTTACTAAGGACTTTGGAAAATGTGCCGACATAAGGTAATTTGAAATAAAAAGTGATTGGTGTATTTTCTTTAGTGTTATCCAGTGTACTTTTGCATTTACATTGAACTGAATTAACATAACGATTATTAACATCACTATTATTATTATTATTATTATTATTATTATTATTATTATTATTATTATTATTATTATTATTATTATTATTATTATTATTATTATTATTATTATTATTCTATCAGGGATTGTGGCCGTAGGATATGACAAATGTAATTCCGGCGAACCTACAAACTTTACTTGTTCAGTAACCGGTAACATAACTGGAGTCGACGTCCGTTTACAATACCAAAACAGTCTCTCATCTTCACTGTCACCAGTTACACTATTACCAGTTACAGTGGAGACAACTGACGGTATTTTATTGGCCAGATTCATTGCCGATGCAGATATTACACAGAATTACATGTGTCGGATTCAAGATGGCGAGTACTGGACGACTCGTGCTTTACATTTTGACGTTTATGGTAATGTAACTGTTGATCCATTAAAAAATGAATGTCGAGATTATTAAAATCTTTTTCTTGGATAATAAAATCCAAATTAATTATTAATAATGTGTGCAGTTAAAATTTTGAGCCAGTGGTAGATGTCTATAGACATAAAGGTGTGCAGATTATATTATTTCATTTGCTGGGTCTGTTGTAAACTATATGTAATTATGCTTAACAATTTAACATAAATTATATTTTTTGTATAAACCACTGGATTCATAAAACAACATAAAGATCTGCCTGGCTATAATGGCAAACCGTCTGTCTTGAATTCAACTAACTCATCGGTGACGTTGAAATGGCGACCGTGGAGCATTGATAAAGGAGACACGGGTGATGGTCCAGTTATTGATTACGTCGTCTTCTATAAACGATCACGGGATCAAGAATGGAACTCTGTCCCCAGTACATCCGGAATGACGTCAGTAAAAGTGACGGGATTATTGGCAAATACTGAATACGAGTTTTCTGTGGCAGCCGTTAGACCATGCACCGGAGGTCGTGGAGAAATGGGCTTGGTCTTAAATTCTACCACTCTTTGTTCACGTAAGTCATTCTTAATTACCTGTATTTTGTAGGTAAAAAGTGTGTAGTATTTCTTCAATTCAAATGTTTACATTTTTAAAACACATTGACTAACATTGCTTAGGTCTTTCACAGCTCCTGGAACACCATTCACTACACTCACAAGTGGTGACATGCTGAGGCAACTTAATGTCAATTGGTCGGTACGTATTTATAGTGATGTTTAAAAATAATTCCTTTTTTTTGTAATTGTAATAACCGATATCGGTATACACCATGAATACCATCATCATCGCCACCAATCGTATCGTCTTCAATACCATCACTAATATCAACGTCATCAATAAAAGTTGTCATAATACAGTTATCATCATCAGTACCATCATCGTCATTCTCACTATCATCTTGTTAATCATAATGCACTTTGACTTTTCCCATCCCACGGTAAGTAACAATGTGTAATTTAAATCATAGGTTCCTCATGTTGATACCGATTGTCCGATCACTTCCTTCACAATTTATTATTCTGAGCTTGGTTTCGAAAATGATGAAACCCACATTGTTGTCAACGACACTGTCAGAGAGTACACTATCTTATGCCTGAATGCTTTCACGGCTTACAACGTGGAACTAACGTCAAGAAACAAAGATTTCGAAAGCCTCCGATCTTCAAATATGGCGTATACAACTGAAGAAAGTAAGCAATAATGTTATGATATTGACAAAAATTAAGGAACCTTGTAGGTATATTGACCCACTTATTAGGCGAAATATCTTCTGTAAAGTTATACAAAATTTAAGTTATGAATTACACTTCAGTAAGAAGTCTAGCATGATGTACAGAATAAGTGTAGATGTTAAGATGTAGGCCTACATTTCTGATGAGATTATTCTAAACCAAAATCGATTTCTCAAGATACAACTCATCCACTACATAGGTTCATTATGCTCAGTAGATCTAGTAGAATTATTGGTCACTTTTAAAAATGCAAATCGCCATAAAATTATTTCTTCCAAGTGCAATAAGACTGTTCTATAATAACCAGCAACGATATATAAATTTTCAGAGTTACTTTTTTCAACATGTGCAAGTCTATGGTTTTGCTATCTTCATTGTATTGTTGAACCAGAAAAACAAATATCAAATGCATTTGTGATGACAGATTAATAAATGAATCTTGAATATTATTTCATAGTTATCACCATTAAAAAAGTACCAGTACCGTTGCAAAGAAACTGGTCGGCAACACTCAATACATGAATTATAAATTTGATTGATTATTGTTCGTTAAAAATATTTTATGTATTATTTAAGATAGTTATCAGTGTTCACATTTTAAATACACTTGACTTAAATAGAAGCGGTGCCACCAATAGTTTCCGTGTGCAGTGACTCTCCGATAACACTTCAAATTGGAACAAACAGTATGGGAATCTTTGGTAATGTCACGCACTTCAACATCAGATATAGAGAGGAAAATGTCAAAGACGAAACATGGCAACTGGTGAAGCTAGCTTCAAAAAATGGTTCTGCTACTTGGACTGGGAACGACCTCACAGCGGGAAAAGTGTATGTGTTCGAGGTACAGTATTCATGTAAATTCTAGCCAAATACCAAGTAGCTTTCACAATATTCTTACTCAGTATTTAGACCTATCAGGTTATTTAATAGATCAATTGGTAGAGGAGCCAAACGGTTTTATTTTCGTTTTTTATGTTAAGGTCAGGGCCGTAAACCGCCTTGGTGAAGGCCGGTGGAGTAATACCTTTTCTGCCATCTCACGCAGAGGTGAGTAAAATGTTCATACACATAATTACAAGTTTAACAAAAGCATAAACTTAATTTATTATAAAGTGTATTATAACAAAGAAAAATATAAATTATAATTATTCTATCATATAATCTAATTGGCTGTTATACAACAGGTATGGCCTAGGGTCTTAACCTTTTAGCCTACTGTGAATTTTCCGACCCCCCACAACTTGGTAAACATAAATTCCAAATTTTTAATATTTTAAATGTTAAAAAGACAATGAAATCTTTGAATAGTGATCATAACTCCAATGCTCTACAATATTAGTGCGACAAACCACAGCAAGAAAAAAGATTATGTCAGCTTATAATTTATACTTTTGTCGTCAACGGGAGGTATATATCCGGGGCGTGTGTAAGACTTTGCCAGTATGACAGTGTACAACCATTAGCAAGTTTTTAGAATATGGCAGCTCTAAAAGCCCTGTATTTGCACTCTTATAATTTAAAATGTTTTTCTTATTGCATTTACGATGTGATTGAACCTAAATTTGCGCGCATACCTTACCTTTATGTAGTGTTTAGATATAGTAACCATATTGATTATTTTCATGTAAGGTACAATTCCGAACCTCATTGTCATCATATGTATCTCTCTTGCTCTTCTAATTTTATTGATTTGCAACGCTTTCTTCTTGATTTGTTGCTGGTAAGTTATATTTGTATATAAATTACATTACTTTTTTCTAATAATACTAATAATAATAGTAGTAGTATGAATTATAAATTAATAATGCTTTATTTATATTGCGCATATTGCAATAAAATGCCATGCTATGTCCATTCACCATTTGACTAGTTGTTGGCAAAGCCCACAAAAACCGACCAAAAATCCAAAAACAATCTAATGTGAGCATACGATATTCAATCATAATGAACAATATAAATAAAGACAAAAAAAAGTTTACATATTAGTTTGTGCTTATCAAGTTTGAATCTCTACCGAGTTCCAGTAGTATGTTTTGAATTTTTAACGTATATATTGTACAAACATTGCATTATTATTGTTTATAGCCTTGTCGTTTCAGTGATCAAATTTTATTTTTATGCTGTGTTCTTCGCTGTAAACCTTTTGTTGACTTGTGTATTTTTTAATAATTCAATCTCTAGAAGTAATGTTCTAATGGATATTGGATGATCTTTATTGTTTTAAAAAAATGTTTACAACATGAATTAATAATTGTCAATGTAATTCGTATTCAGATGTTTATGTCCTTTAATTTAATACTCCCAAAATTACAAATCAGCATGGTTGCCACTCCTCGTTTCAGGATAATGCGACCTGTTTCTAGTAAGGAATTGGAACAGAGCCGAGATCATTTTTCAATAAAAAAAAAGTTTACACTGGAACAGAAAAAAGTAGAAAAAGAAGCGGTAAAGAATGATGACACAGAGAGCTACTATAAAGAAATAGACACTGATGATTTTCAGTACGAGACCACCAACGAGGCCGTTAACACCACAAGGTTGATTGTATTTATTGTATATTATATATCACCGGTTTTACAATTACATTATAATAAACATCTTACAAGTTTAGGTTTATCTCTTACACTGTTTACTTTATCTTTAGTTTTCTTTTTGACAAATGAAAATATTAAGAATATAGAACGACCAAGAAAACATGCTGAAAAAATGCAAGACTTCCAATTTTCTGACCTCTCATTAGTACTAAGAACACTTAGTCCAGAAAATGATGCAAGATCCGACGCACACACTACATTGTTAAAGTCTCGACCAATCCGGCACTCGCTTCAGACAACCCTTAACCCCTAACTTAATCATGGGTTGCGCCAGGCCCTAACCCCACCCCCCATCGGGGAGAAAAAGCACAATTCGCCGGGGAGAAAAAATTATATGTATTTTCTACATATTATTAGACTCTAAAATCGATTAAATAAGCCTTTGAAACCCCTATTGTCAAAATTTTCGAGGCTTCGCCCCCTGGACCACTTTCGAAACCATTTAATCGTCGAAGCTCGACTACGCCCACTTTGCTTTCGTCGGGGAAATCGGACCCCTCGTTGGGACATCCCCCCCCCCGCCGGGTAAATCCTGGCGCCACCCCTGAACTTAATTCATGTGTTTAATAGTAAGTATACCGTAAGTAAAGTGCTATGATGTGCAATGCAATATGTGTATTATGTATTGAACAAGATTCTTATTATAATTTCAGGATACTGAAATCTGCTACTGATGACCGTCACTATTCTGAACCGATTTCAAATAATTATTCAGAGACAACGTTTTCTGCATATGAAGAGGAAATCGTAGAAAACGAAGTGTTCAAGGATGATGACACAGAAAGTATATATGAAGAGATGGATACTAAGGACTACGAGACTTCGATAAATACTTAAAAGAAAGTGGCGTAATGCAGGGCACTCATCGCATTGTATGACCGTCGTACGACGACTCAAACTCCGCTCTATGTGAGCGTAAGACGCCGCGACGCCGTCTGCTGATTATAGGTGGCAGTCTAAACTCATCGTCATTAACAACGATCCGTCGCACGTGCGTCGTGGCGTTGCGTATTCTCCATTGAATCGAGTCGGCCGACGGGCGCCGCCTGATTGCCCGGTATTACTGTGAGCCCTCACTGGCTAAAGCTGGAGTCCAGACCTTAAAGTGCAGTCCGGGATATACATTAACCGAAAGGTCCACTGATTAATCTCAAGATAAGAAAGTATAATACATACTCTAAGTATTGAAATACACGCCATCGTGTTGGGATTCAATATTTCGACATTAATTATGTCATCATCAGGAATGAAAAATTATCCATATTAGCACGCTTATATGCACTAGTACCAAAAGTGTTTAATCAATCAAAACATTACCTCTAGTTGGTGACATAGCAGTGATTTAAACAAAAGATCAAAGCATTCTTACTCCACTGATCAAAGCTAACTACAAAAACAAAGAAAGCTCCTTTGAAGTCTGAGCCCATTGTTAAGCAAAGGGTGTTGTCTACGTATAGCAAACGCTTCTTTAAACAATAGGATAGACCAGTTTCGGGAGCTGTCAATAATGTTGGTACTAGAAAATATTAAACCTAATTTATTACTTACATACAGACATTATCATTTTCAAGTATACCCTGTAAGCCTAAAACATATTGGAATGCCTCACAGTTTTTAACATGGTCGACCGGTCAAATATAACACTTATCAGATCGTAAAGAATATTCTTTAAGTCTAGTTATTCGTGTTACCAATATAATTTCTATAACAGCCTGGACATTTAAAATGACAGAACTTCTGTACTCCTTTAAGGGGTTTAATCTTTAGTAGATATAAAATGAGAAACATTTTTATACTGCCATAAATTTTACCTCTTTAAGTGTTTCTTTCCTTTATTTAAACATCTACGTAAAATAAATTCACCTGGATTTCCTAGATAAGGCAATCTAACCCAAATCTTAATCAAGCTATCATCAGTAGGCTTATGTATACATTTAGGTTCATTTAATTTCTTAAGTACATTATTATATTATGGGGCATGAGTGTTTTTCCATGTGCTTGATCCAGTGACCGGGGGTAATAATGTAAAGTGCAGAGGTTAGTCTACAATATGCGCTATATAAGTCCACAATTAATATTATAACTATTATTAACAACTTTTAAAGGGTACCCATTCCAAGACATAAACTTCCTAATGTTACTAAGCTCTGCTTGAAATTTATCTGGAGTACACAATCTATGGGCTCTAGAAACTAAACTACGAATCCAGGAGATCTTATGGTTCCATGGAGTAAAGCTATCATAATGGATATATTGACCTGTAAGTGAATTTTTACGATATATACGGTACCGTACTCATGCTTCCTACACTGTTGTTAAATTGTAAATATAGAAAATGTTCTATGTCACTGTTTTCAAATGATTCAAATGTAAAATTAATCTGTCTATGAAAAGCATCAAAGTAGCTTAGAATTTGAGGGAAATCATTGGGCTTCTAGTACTAGACTTGCCACAAGTCTCTTATACCCAGTCAGCAGCATGCTGACTGGGTTCTGTTTCCGAACAGTTTCTTCTTTACCCAGTCAGCAGCAGCTGACTGGGTTCTGTTTCTTAGCAGTTTCTTCCTTCTTTCTTTACCCAGTCAGCAGCAGCTGACTGGGTTCTGTTTCATAGCAGTTTCTTCCTTCTTTACACAGTCAGCAGCAGCTGACTGGGTTCTGTTTCTTAGCAGTTTTTTCTTTCTTTCTTTCTTTCTTTCTTTCTTTCTTTCTTTCTTTCTTTCTTTCTTACATTGGCATAAGGCAGAGTCTATAGGGTGTTCAGGGATAAGGGGTCAAAGGTCATTAAGGGGTAATTTTCATCTTTTTTCTGGCAACTTTTCAAAACTCTACTAGTGCCAAACGGTTGTGCCTATTTCAACCAAACCTTGTCAGTATAACCGGTGACACCTCTCATACATGGGGTGTACACTGCTTGGGGTCAAAGGTCACATACGGGTCATTAGGGTAAAAAAACTTTTAAAAAAATGAATAAAAGACTTCTTTTGTCACAAATAACATAGCACAGTCTTGTCCTGGGCACATATGTATTGGCATAAGGTAGGGTCTCTATGGTGTTCACAGATTTACGGTCAAAGGTCATTAAAGGGTTATTTTTTGTTCTCTCTAGTAACAATTCAAAATGCTACTAATGGCAAACCATTGGACGAAATTCAATCAAATTCCGTCATTAAGAACCGGCGACACCTCCTACACCCCAGTCTGGGATCAGGGTAACATAGGGGTCATCGGGGTCAAATTTTCAAAAAACTCCAATTGAGTTCGAATTTACCAGGAATGATCCTTAGCACCTTCTACACATGAAAAACGACTCTTCATCTATAGGTCAAAAGTCACAAGGGTCACTATAGTGAAAATTATCAAATCATAATGAAAACTTGAGGACATCTGCTCACTGAACGGTTCACTGTACACTTTAACACAGTAAATAAGTAAAAACCGGACCCACTTTTCTCACAAAATCGACTATATAATTTGAATGGTTTCATTTGGCCATATGGGGCGATCGGATTATGAAACTAGATGTTTTAAGCTTTATAATCATCTATATATTTTTACAATTAATGCAAAATTGAGTGATCATTTTTCTTTTGCATAGGAAAAAGGTTAAAATTAGTGTTTTTTGGTATACTTCCTGCTTCTTTTTACCATAACTCTGCAACGACAGGTTGCTAAACTCCGGGGTGAAAGGTCAATTGTAACTCATAAATTAAGCTTTCTTTTACCATTTAAGTCCCATGCTGGTTGCTTAAATAACCATTAATCATTTTTTCTTTACAATTTTGTATTCGGAACTGTTTTTACCCTGTCTATGAATGACGTCACGCGCTTAAGGCCAATAGCAGCTACGAATTTGGAGTTTTTTGCGGTTAGTGCGTTCGTGCATAAGATGTAAGTCAAATTTACCTGAATGAGCTTTTGTCGCAAACAGAGGAAAAGTTTTTATTATGATTTCTAGTGAGTAATGATTGGACCAATTGCATTAGACAGACTCCTACCAAACATGGGGTGTTCACACAGGTTGAGCTTAAAGGTCACAATGGTTACCTCTTAAAAATTGACTGGGTTCATGTTCTATTAAACATAGTATCTCTAGTTTTTTCTTATTATTTTTCTCATTCTGGACAGCGCCACCAACGAAAAAGTTAATTTAGAGACATAGAGATATAATAAGAATACTAGAGCGCTAACTGCAATGTATTCGATGTTCGAAATACGCAGAACTGTGTGTGTGTACCATCCAAGATGGCTGTCATAGATTCAGCCAATCAAATTTCGCCTTAGTACTATCATTTTCGATGGCGCCCTCAATTTACACAGAAAGTTCAGTACAGCTAGTTACCCGTATGTTTGAAACTCGGGCGTTGCGGTGTAGGGGTGTAATGTACACGACTTTAATTTTTGAATAAGATGCTCTACTTGGCCTCTTTTTGGCTACGATAGCTTAAGAATTTCTTATTATCAATACTAATTATCATTAATGAAATAATAGTCAGTCAGAGGGCTTATTTATGGTAATAATATGTATACTAAGCCTGAAGGTGGCGCTTTCCTACGGCGGCCATCTTGGACGGTACACATACACAACTCTGCATTGCTTCGCCATCTTGTCAGCACTCTAGTTATTTAATAGCTCTATGTTTTGGGACGGAATAAGATAAAAAAAAAAATGAAATCGAGTATGGGACGCCAATTAAATTAGGTATGGCGCGCACTACGTACAATAAAGAGTGAGTAACCCTTAATTAGGGCCCGGAACCCAGACTAAGCTAGTACTAGCGTGTCGTCAACAAAACGAGTATAAAACTTAATAGTACCTGATTCAATAAGTTTAGGAACAATAGACTCTTCTAGTTCAGTCATTAAAATATTAGCTAAAACTGGGCCAAGAGGCCAACCCATTTGAGACACCATCAGTTGGCTTAATAATAATAATAATGATAATAATAATAATAATAATAATAATAATAATAATAATAATAATAATAATAATAATAATAAATAATAATAATAATAATAATAATAATGATAATAATAATAATAATAATAATAATACTAATAATAATAATAATAATAATAATAATAATAATAATAATAATAATAATAATAATAATAATAATAATATTTATTTGGAAAAAACGCTTTTTTTAACAGCGGCACACATCACATCAAAAATAAAACCATAACAATCAAAATCAATAAAACCAACAAAATTAAAACAACATACACAAAAAAGGAATGATTAGAAAGAATAGGGAACACTCTCCCTGGTGTTCAGACTTGCAAGTAAAACGCAATTTGTAAATACAGGGTAGCCATTCTCCATAAATAAATAAAATGTCGCTATATACTTGTATGACTTATAATTAAATGCATCAATTATTAACAAATCCATTTTCTACTCATTTTATAAAATCAAAGAGTTTTTCTTTTACTTTGGCATATTTCTTTTCGGCTTCAGTAAAATTACATGTGTATTCATTTGTTATTAAGTTTTTAAGTTCTAATTTAAATAGGTTCCAGATAACTTTTTCTTCGCTGGTTTAAATAAGAATTGTGATTTCTAAATACAAAAGGTAAATAAAGAAACAAGTTCAAGTCTTTTTAGAGTTCATATACACACACACACACACACACACACACACACACACGGCGTAAGCCTGGCGTAGCGTACGCCCTTGTGTGTGAACTAGGCAGTGGCGTTACTTACGCCACATACAACGTCACCTCCGTGGCGTTATTAACGCTACCTGCAGACCCCAGATTAGTTAACGCCACGGAGCTAGCGCCAGTGATGCTTGAATGATTTGACCTCATTTCTAGAGATTGACCAATCAC